TTTGGGGCAGTTTTGGATCCTGTCTATAGTGATATAAAACCATAAAAATAACACTTCTCCTTTCTGGATCCAAACCCAGCCTGTCCCCTCCAGGGGTGGGTGTTCCCCCCTCTGCCCCAGGCGGTTCCATTGCCCATGGGCAGTAAAGCCTCCGCTACTTCTGCAACTGGAGAGTGTTGGAGCCATGGACCATTAACATTCCAGTCTCTCCCAGCTCTGCATCCCAAAAGTCAAGAGGGATCAATCTGTCACCTCAAAGTGGATCAGTCCCACTGAAAACAGCTCGATCCCACCCCAAACTGGCTCGATCCCACCCCAAAATTCCTGTTTCTTTTTTTCCCTATGTAATTCTGGGGCTGCCGGTGCCACCCCTCAGCTCTCCACAGGCTGAGGCTTGGCCTTGCACTTTTGCCTTTGCTGGACTTCTTCATCAAATATTTCTCTCTCTCTGAAAAGAAAAATTTGTAAGGTTTTCGATAATCTGGACATCTTTAGACCATCTGGACAAATTACAGTTTGCAGTGTTGGAACAGCTCAGCCACAATGTTTTCCGTGTTTAATCATTTGTTCCCATCCCTCCCAGGAGGGAGGACACTGAACTCTTCCACAGAAACAGAAAACTAGTAACAAAAATTCAGAGACTACTGAAAATGAAAAATACCTTTTGCTCACAGGTGGCCCTTTCATGTCCTTCTCTTCTGCCTTCCTGCAATCCATGTTATCCACAACAGCAGTTGCCTAGATCATGGCCCAAAAAAGCTTTTTAATTCATTTATAATCATTCCAGAAAACTGAATGACCAGAGGCAGCTCTCCAGAGAGAGACCTCAGAGATAGCGATGGAATCCATCAGATGGCCTTGGGCACTCTATGAGAGGGAGAGAAGAAGCTGCAAACTTCAGCAGGAGGACACCTGTGGTGAACACCTGCTACCAAAGTTAAAAATGAGAAGGGAAAGACTTTTAGTTTACCCCACTTATGAAATATGAATTAATTTATAATTAAGAATTACAATGTGTTGTTAAAAAAAATTGAATAGTGTGGATAAGTTTGAAAAAGTGTGTGACAGTATGTTACATAGGTCCATGCATGCCTCCTTCCCTGTAGCTTAAAAATTCCTGTGCTAGGTGGGATAAAAATGCTTTAATGTAAACACTGCATGCCTTTTCTGCCATTTTGGGGTGGACAAGGAGGACAGAAGAATAAAACTTCTCTTTTTAGTGACGCAGTCAGATTGTCTTTATTAACAACCAACAAGAGTAAAAGAGTTTAAAACTATGTCAGAACAGATTTTAGGCATTGTCAGTTCTCCACAATTCGTTTAGTTCCATGAGGCTCTGCAGTGTCACAATTGGCCCTTGACTCCATGAGGTTCCAAAAATTCTCAGGGTTCCTTTGGCTCCATGAGGTTCTGCAGTGTCACAATGGCCTCTTAATTCCATGAGGTTCTGCAGTGTCCCAGGATTCATTTTTCCATGAGGCCATGGACTCTCACTATGGATCCCTTATTCCCTGTAGCCATGCTGTGTCCCAATGGCACCTTGGTTCCATGAGATCCTACAGTGTCCCAGGGTTCCTTCTGGAGCATGAGATCCTGCAGTGTCACAGGTGCCCCTTGATTCCATGATATTCCACAGGGTTCCTCTGATTCCATGAAGTCCCACAGGTCCCAGTGGTCCCTTGATTCCATGAGGTTCCACAGTGTCACAATGTTCCCTTTAACTCCCTGTGGCTCTTTGACATCCCGTGACCTCCCAGTTCTTTAGGAGCCCTGAGAACTTCAACAGGGGGAAGTGCCGGATTCTGCCCTGGGATGGGGAAACCCCGCATGGACAGAAAGACTGGGAAGGAGAGGCTGGAAAGCAGTGCCGGGAAAGGGCTCTGGGGGTGCTGCTGGGTGGCCAGTTGGCCCTGAGTCAGCAGTGCCCTGGCAGCCGGGAGGGCCAAGCCTGTCCTGGGGGCATCAGGCCCAGCATGGCCGGCCGGGCCAGGGAGGGGATTGTCCCGCTCTGCTCTGCCCTGGGGCGGCCTCACCTGCACCATTGGGGCAGTTTGGGGGGACACAATGGAAGGGAGAGATTGAACCATTAGAGAGGGTCCAAAGGAAGGCATAGAAGATGGGGAAGGGCCTTGGGGGGAAGGCGTGTGAGGACACTGAGGGCACTTGATGTGTTCAGCTGGAGAAGAGGAGACTGAGGGGAGACCTCAGTGCAGTTCCAACTTCCTGGGGAGGGGCAGAGGAGGGGCAGGCCCTGAGCTCTGCTCTGTGGGGACCAGGGACAGGACTGAGGGAATGGCCTGGAGTTGTGTCAGAGCAGGATTAGGTTGGATCTTAAAAAGAGGTTGTTCCTCTAGAGGGTGGTTGAGCACTGAACAGGCCCCTCAGGGCAGTGGGCACAGCACCAAGGTTGACAGAGCTCAGGAAGTGTTTGGATGATCCTCTCAGGCTCATGGTATGACCTTTGGGGACGGTCCTGCACAGGGCTAAGGGTTGGACTGGATGATCCTTGTGGGTCCCTTCCGACTCAGCCTATTCTGTCATTCTGTGTTTGTTTGGCTTTGGTTTGGTTGTGTTTAGTCTTTTTGCCCCTCTTTTGAATTGCCTTTCCTCTGACCCATGAGTTTTTCCTTCATTGTCTTGTGCCTTGCTGGGCACCTGATGGCAAGACAAGTTTATCTGACTCAGTCATCTTGACTACATTTTTTGTCCAAGTCACCATTAACTAGACGAGGTTTCTCACAGACTCGCTGCAACTTGGTATCATCCACAAAGGAGTGGAAAGTGCATTTCATCCCATCACCCAGAGACATAATAAAGATGTTCCAAAGGAATGGTCAAGGGCTGGTCCCTGATGGATGCCACCTGGGAGTTGCTGCCAAGAGGAATTTGTGCCATGACTTTTGACCCTCATCAGTCATTCAACTTCCCACTCACCACATGTTTCACTTGTCCAGTCTGGCTCTAAGAGACCACAGCAGACCATGTCAAAGGCCTTGCTGAAGTCCGGGCACACAACATCCCTTTCTTTTCCCTCCCACAGGGGTTCTGCAATGCCTGTCAATAACTGCAGGAGGACTTGCCCTACGCCCTTCCCTGCTGAGCCTGAGCAGTCTGGAACTCTGCCAACCCTCCTTGCTGCCCTGTTTGCAGACTGGTTCCATGTCTGCCTTTGCCAAGGCCCCAGGAAGCTCTGGGATGGCTCTGGCCTTTCCAAGGGTTTGGGAGAGGTCTGGTGGAGCAGCCCAGTCTGGTCTGGCCCCACAGCAGTGCCCACCCCAGGGTGCTGCAGAGCTCTGGGCACTCCCCCCACAGCCCCAGCCCCTCTGAAGGGCACAGCAGTTCCTGGGGCACAGACAGGAGTCTCAACATCTCCATCAGGTCAGGGGCTAGACACTCAGCATGGCAGGAGGAAATGGAGGTCAGGGAAACTGCAGGAGCCCTGGTGTCACCTCCAGGAGATGCCCAGCACAGCCTGACTGTGCCCCTCAGTGCCAGCCCCTCTGCCCAGCCCAGCACAGAGTCCTGGCCCAGGGACAGAGCAGCCTGTTCCCAGGGGGGGCTGCAGAAAGAGGTGTCTCTGTGTCAGGGATTCCTCTCTGCAGGCCCAGAAATGCTGCCTTGCTCTTCTGCAGGGCCATCCCTTTGCCCAGGTCAGTGTGTCCAGGCTGCCTTGGCCAGTTGCAGATCCCAGCCTGGGATCCCTGCAGGGCCCTGAGCTGGAGGTGCTGCTCTGCACAGGGAGGGGCTGTGGCACCCTGGGCTGACCCTGCACTGGCCATGCTGGTCAGGGTGGGGAGCAGACCCAGCAGGATGGGGATCACTCCTCTCCACCCTCTGCCATAGTCCTGGGAGGCTCAGTAGCCAAGAACAAGGCTGGGCAGGACCATGGGCTGTTTCCAATGGCACAAAGGGCAGGGCAGGGCTCCACTCCATCCAGCCTGTGGGCTGGAGAGTTCTTCAGGACACCCTCCTGGAAAGCCCAGCCCTGGCTCTGGTACAGCCCTCCCTGAACTGGGGAGGCACAAGGGGAGTTCACTGTGGGTGAGACGAGTCACTGGCCAGAGTCCTTTCTCTGTTCCTGCTGCATCCCCCGGGGTTGCAGAACTCTCCTTTACCAGTTCACAGGCAGATTTAGTACTTGATCTCTGGTAACTCCACCCTGGGCAGGATTCTGCTCCAGGGCTCCATTCCCTGCTGACTGGATGGGACGGGCTGTCCCTGCAGATCCTCTGTGCTCTCCTGCACTTCCTGAGTTCCTACAGACAAGTCCTCACCTGCCATCAGAGCCCTCACAAGTTGCAGAGCCCCAGGCAGGGGACTTGGAGACCCTTTGCCACTGGCCACCAGCACAGAACATCTGGACTAGCCCTCAGTCCCTCAAGTACCCCAGTGAGTCCCTTCTCTCATTGCAGGGACTGAAGGGGGAAACAAGCAAAGCAATGAGACTTTGGAGAGTCTGTTCCTTGGCCTTGTTCTTTACACAAACCTTTCAGAAAGAACAAAGTCTTCGAGAACTGCCCAGGGGGATCCCCTTTCATGATGGAAATGATGTTAAGGAGCTCAACTCTGTGCCAGCAGTGCCCAGGGCCTGTCCCTGCCCATGGTCACAGGAGTGACACATCAGGGACTGAGCTGCCAGAGCACTCAGGCCTTGGGCAAGGAGCAGAAAGGAGAGGGAGACAGTGGAAAAACAGCATCTCTGAAAAGGCCAAGAGCTGCTGCTCCCTGGAAGTGCTCCTGTACCAGGACTCTTTACCCCTTCTCCTCTGCACACAAGCACTGCCCTCCAGCTTCAGGGAAGTTCCTGTAGGACGAATCAGGAAAAAAGACCTCAAGTCCTTCATTATACACAGAGACTGTGATTCCTCATGTACAGAATAGCAAAGGCGGGATGTTTGACAAAAAAGTTGTTGCAGAAACTTTTATTTTGTTTAAATGCACACAGAGAATGATTCCTCATTTACACAATTGTGGGTCAAAATAAAGAGGTAGAGAGTGAATCAGGTATGACATGCAGAATAAATTTCTGTGTTAACAACATGAAAAGGGGAACACGTGTAGGAAACCCCCCTATTGCCATTCTCAAAACCTTTAGAAGGCAGGCTGGGCCAGTAAAGTGTTACACAATGAGTGTTGTGCAGAAGAAGAGAGGCAGGTTGTTGCTCCTGAAAAGCAGGAGTCATCATTCTCCTCAGAGTGTCCCTGAGATCCTGGTTCCTCAGGCTGTAGATGAGGGGGTTCAGTGCTGGAGGCACAAGTGAGTACAAAACTGACACAATCAGATCCAGGGATGGGGAGGAGATGGAGGGGGGCTTCAAGTGGGAAAACACGACAGTACTGAGGTACAGGGAGACCACGGCCAGGTAAGGGAGGCAGGTGGAAAAGGCTTTGTGCCGTCCCTGCTGAGAGGGAATCTTGAGCACAGCCCTGAAGATCTGCACATAGGAGAAAACAATGAAAACAAAACAAACAAAACCGATCAAACAATTTATTATAAGAAGCCAAATTTCCCTGAGGTAGCCTGAGTGTGAGCAGGAGAGCTTGAGGATGTGTGGGAGTTCACAGAAGAACTGGCCCAGGGCATTGCCCTGGCACAGGGGCAGGGAAAATGTATTGACTGTGTGCAACAGAGCATTGAGAAACCCAGTGGCCCAGGCAGCTGCTGCCATGTGGGCACAAGCTCTGCTGCCCAGGAGGGTCCCATAGTGCAGGGGTTTGCAGATGGCAATGTAGCGGTCGTAGCACATGATGGTGAGGAGGGAAAACTCTGATGAGAAGAAGAATAGAAAGAAAAAGGCCTGTGCAGCACATCCTGTGTAGGAGATGGTTGTGGTGTGCCAGAGGGAACTGTGCATGGCTTTGGGGACAGTGGTGTAGATGCAGCCCAGGTCTGTGAGGGAGAGGTTGAGCAGGAAGAAGCCCATGGGGGTGTGCAGGTGGTGGTCGCAGGCTACGGCGCTGAGGATGAGGCCGTTGGCCAGGAGGGCAGCCACGGAGATGGCCAGGAAGAGCCAGAAGTGCAGGAGCTGCAGCTCCTGCCTGTCTGCCAATGCCAGGAGGAGGAACTGGGCCATGGAGCTGCTGTTGGACATATGCTGCCTCAGGGTATGGTTTTCTGTTCAGGAGAAAAAAGGCAGAACTGAATTAGGCCAGACTCAATCAGCAAAACATCTTGCATGTCTCATAGCAATTCAACATTCAGGGCCTCTTTTCAGGAAAATCTCTCTGCATCCCTCTCCCTGAGCTCTGGGTTTTGCTGGCTGAAGGGGGCACTGAGAGCAGGGACCCTGGAGTGGGCTCCCGAGGAATCCTTCTCACTGTGCAGTGAGAGGCCACTTGGAGCACAGGGTGACCTCCAATTAAAAGCACTTGTGATGTATCAAAGTGTTTCCAGAACTGCTGGTCACAGTTTGCCCAAGCACAGAAAAGAGAGAGAGGGGACTCGGGGACTTGATTTCGTTCCAGTTCCTCTTGCCAGGAGTGAGTTTGGATGATTGAAATCTCTGACATTTCTAATGTGCTCCAAGTGAAATCTTGTGAGTCCTGAGAGGCAAAGGGGTGGTCTCTTGGTGCAGAGACAAGAGTTGGCCATCTTTGCTGTTCACAGCTGCCCCTGGCTGGCAGCTGGGAGCTGAAGGGGGGTTGGCCCTTAGGAATTCCCTTAAAACAGAAACAAGGCAGAGAACTCCTGGCAGTGAAATGCCACAGTGCTGCTGCCAAGAGAGGAGGGACACAGAGACAGCTGGAAATCAGGGCCTTGTCCTTGCCTGGGCTCTGGCTGCTGCAGGGCAATGCACAGCCCAGCCCCCGTGGGCCTGAGGGCACAGGCTCTGCTTAGGCTGGGAAAGGAGCCCAGGCAGGAGCTGCTCAGGGAAGGGGTCTGTGCCACAGGGACAGCAGGGAGGGGCCCACATCCCCCAGCCCAGCACTTGTGGCAGCCGCTGCCTCTCCCTGCCTGCCTGTCTCTGGGTGAGGAGCTGTTCCTGCCAGCAGCCCCTCCCTGTGCCCAGCTCAGCTCCCTGCCAGTGCTGCCAGAGCCATCCCCAGCCCAGTGCCCAGGGGCAGCTCTGCCTGGGCAGGGGCTGCAGAGCAGATCCCAGACAGCCTGAGGTGGCTGGGAAGGGGGAGGTGTTCTGGGGGGATGAGCTTCCTGAGAAGGGTCCCTGGAAATGGAGGAGGTGGAGCTGAAGGTGTGAGGAGCCCTGAGCCTGCAGCTGAAGGGCCCTGCCCAGCCCTGCCCTGCCCTGAGGGGTCACTCCTTCCACCTACAGCTTCTCCCTGCTGGGCCATGGCAGCTCCTTGGCCGGGCTGAGAGCTGAGCCTGGCAGGCAGCAGAGTCCCTGCCCCAGCACACAGAGCCCTGGGGGCAGGACCCTGCTCTGCCCCACAGCCCTGGGCACCCCTGGCTGCACCCCCACCTTCCCACCCCACAGCCAGCCCTGCCACAGGGAACCTTCTGGCCCTGGGCCTCTGAGGGGGCAGCAGCAAGTCCTGCTCTGCAGCAGCTTCTCCTGCTGCACCCCAGCAAATCCAGCAGAGCCATCCTGACAGCTCCTGCCACTGCTGCCATTTGGCAGCTGGCAGAGGCACTTGCAGGAACTCACCTGCACTGCTCTGCAGACAGAGCCTGACCGTGGCAAAGGGCTGGCAAGGTTCCTGCCCTGAGCAGCTCTGCCCTGTCCTCCCACCCCAGGATCCCTTGAACCTCCTGCTCCCTTCTCCTCTCTGCCCTTGCTGCCTGCAGCTCCTGCCCTGCTCTGCCATGTGGCCACTTCTCCTGCACTGCAGCAACTGGGAGAGTCCTGTTGAAAGATCCTACAAGCTGTGGGATGTGGCAGCTTTAGGAGATGCCTCCAGAAAGGCAAGTTGAACATTCCTACAGCCAGAGAATTCTTCCTTCCAATCCTGGGAAGGTTTCTGGCATAGTGAGAGCTCAGTCACCTCCCAGCCCAGGCTGCCTCTCATCTCTCTGCCTTCTCTCCTGTGCCCTGGGTGCTGCAGGCAGTGCCCTCAGCCCTGCTGGGCTGTGCAGAGGAGCTGCTCACCAGCAGAGCTGTCTATTTGAAGCTCTTCTTGCTTGCCAGGAGCTCCCTGTGTGCCAGGAGCCCGGCCCAGCTCAGCAGCACAGCAACAGCCCCAGGCAGCCCTTGCTCTGCCCCTCGGGCTCCCTCCAGCTGTCCCTGGGGCTCCAGGGGAACCTGCTGGCACACAGCTGAAGGAAATAATGATGTTCCTTCCCTCAGCTGGGCACAGACATTTCTTTCAGCAGGGTCATTTCTCCAAACAGACACAGAGTTAAGTCCAAGAGGCCCCTTTTCATGTCCCATCATTAGACAGGAAACCCAGACAGTGCCCAGGAGGGATCTCCTTCACCTGCACTGAGGGAAGGGACTCAGCTGAGTCAACAGAGGTGTCTCCTTGTGGCTCTGCAGACCTGGGGCCAGAAGGACACTCAGCTCCCTCCACAACCCCCATGGGCTGGGATTTCTCCTGCCCCACTTCAGTGGGCCTAAAATAGGCACCTGCAGGTGCATCCCTGTCCCAGCTCCCCTGGGAATGAAGGAAGACCAAAGCCAGGAGTGACCTGTTGGGACACAAACCCCTGGTTCCTTCTGAGGGGCCAGAGGTGACCGAGATTCCTGCTGGGAACTGCAGGCTCCAATGGAGCAGTTCCCAGGGACAGGGCAGCAGCTGCGGGATCTTCTTGGAGGCTGCTGGGACATTGCTTTGGCCAACTTCAGTGGCAGAAGGGGCCCACATGTAGGACAGGGGAACCTGTCACTGTTCCTTCTGTCCAGGGCAGCCCCTAGAGGTGCTCAGGTGACCAAATGGAGTCAGGTGGCACAGGGAGAGAGGTCTCTCTCCTGTTCTTTATCAGGGTATTTTCTACATGTCCTCAGAGTACAATGGCAGTTGTCTCCTGGACATCCCTTCACTGCTGAACCTAATTGAGGGCAGCTGAGCCTGGATGGAACAGCCAAAGAGGGGCCTGTAGTGCCAGGGGAGGTGCCAGGGCTCTGCAGCACAAGTGCAGCAGCTGCCATGGACAGCACAGGGCCTGTGCAGGGACCCCGTCCCCATTCCCAGCAGTTGTGGGACAGGCACCACCCAGGGCTTCTCAGACCCATTGGGGGCCTTTGGGGCAGGGAGTGAATCCCAGCCCTGCAGGGACACAAAGGCTGTCCCTTCTCTGCCCAGCCAAGGCTGGGCCAGGCACGAGTCCAAATCCCATCAGCCCAGGCTGTCCACACTTGTTTCCTCCCTCTGCTGGCTCTGCTCTCCCCCAGCATTTCAGCAGCATGTGCTGATCTCCTCAGGGATCAGGCCTGGGATTTTCCCCCTGGGCCTGAGTCCCAGCACGTCCACCCCCAAGGCCATTGTCAGCAAAGCCTCTGCACAGCCCAGCTCTGGGGACTTTCAGAGCAGCCTTCCCCACTGCAAGTCTGTTCTTACCCCTGGTGCCCCACTGAGGGGCTGCAGCCAGACAGGCCCCAATGCCCTGCGTGTGGGGCACAGGCAGCAGGAGCTGCAGCCCCAAGTCTCTCTTCATTCCACTTGCAGGCAATAACAGCCCAGGCCTGCTGAGACAGTTCCCAGGTTGCAGGGCTGTGATGGGTTGGGAGAGAAGGCCAAGGAGACACAGGAGAGACAGAGCAGGAGAGAGGTGTCCTCAGCGGGAAGGAGCTTCTTGGAGCTGTGCAGCTGCTCTAGGGGATGAACAAACTGGGTGAACTTTTGTGGGTGAGGGTCAGAGGAGAGACTGGTTTGGGTGACACTGTGGTGTGAGACAAAGAGCCCACTCGAGTTGGCTTTGATAACCCTGGAATTCACTGGAAAGGCACCACGACAGGATGCAAAGAGTCCCAGAGGTTTGTGCAGGGTCTTGGTGAAGAGAGCCCTTGGGACACAGGCCTTTAGAGCACAGCTGCTCTAAAGGTTGGTGGACAACAGGGAGGCTGCATCTGCATCTGCTTCTGTCCAAGAGGAGCCAAGAGGTTACAATAGTAACTGACCGTAGCGATGGAATGTATGATGGTTGCCATGGTAACTGTCCATAGCAACGGGAATGTGTGATGGTTGCCATGGTAACCGATTGTAGCAACGCGACTGTGTGATGGTTGCCATGGTAACCTGCTGTAGTGATGGGAGTGTTTGATGGTTGCCATGGTAACAGACCATAGCAGTGGAGCGTATAACAGTTGCCATGGTAACTGACTATAGCAATGGGAATGTATGCTGGTTGCCGTGGTAACTGACTGTAGCAGTGGAAAGTATGATAGTTGCCATGGTAAGCAGCAGTAGCAATGGGAATGTGCGATGTTTGCCACGGTAACTGACCATAGCAATGGAAATGTATGATGGTTGCCGTGGTAACTGAACTTAAACATGAAAACTTATGCTGGTTGCCATGGTAACCGACTGTAGCAATGAGAATGTATGATGATTGCCATAGTAACTGACCATGGCAAAGAGAATGTATTCTATTTCCAAGGTAACTCACCATAGCAATGGGAATGTATGGTGGTTGTCATGGTAACTGTGATTTCCTTAGACTATGAGCACAACATTTTCCTCTGCAAAAACATCCGTGAGTGCCCAGAGATCTCCCAAGATGGGCTTTAAAGGTCTCAAGCACATGAGCACTAGAGAGGGGCTAAGGAGCTGTGGCCTCAGTGGTGTGGAGACTGAGGACAGTACAGGATAGTCCTGAGAGGACTTGAAGGCAGGGTTTACAGCTGGTGGATCCTTTTGTCAGAGCAGAAAAGAGCATGAGAAAGAAAGAATTAATGCCAAGTGCAGCTGGGGAGCTCCTGAGTGGACTTGAGGAAAAAGGAATTTCACTCCGTGGAAAACACTGGGCTGCAACCCGTCACCCAGGAGGAGTCTGGATGAGCCCAAGGCTTTGTGTGTGCAGGAAGAGCCAGGGAGGACGCAGAGATGTCAGTGCAGGAAGGTGCCAGCCAGGTGGGGCAGCCGGGGGGATGACGACAGCCTGCAGGGAAAGGGGCAGGGCATGGACACCGTAGGACAGCCTGGGCTGGAGAGGAGACAGGGATGGGGAGAAGCTGAAAGGCCCTGACACAGCCACCTT